AGGTGGCAGACACCTGTAATCCCAATGATTCAGAAGCTTGAGGCAGGAGATTGCAAAAAAAAAAATACTTATCAATTCATTTTTTTAATTTTTTACTTATTTTTTAGTTTTCGGCGGACACAACATCTTTGTATGTGGTGCTGAGGATCGAACCCGGGCCGCATGCATGCCAGGCGAGCGCACCACCGATTGAACCACATCCCCAGCCCCTCAATTCATTTTTTAAAGCTAACCAAAAAAAGAAAGACAAAACATATTAATAAAAGAAGAATCTGGGTAGGTACCAAAACAAAACACCTTACAGAAAAAGGAAACTACAGATTGATATCTCTTGTRAATATACATGAAAAAATCCTTAACAAATATTAGCAAATAAAAATCTGCAATATAAATGCTATATTTTGGAGGTTGAATGGTACCCAAAGGCCCATGTATTAAAGGTTTGGTTTGGGTCCCAGTGTTGTACTATTGAGAAGCTGTGGAACCTCCAGGTAGAGACTTGTGGAAGATCCTTAGGTTATTGGGGGCATGCTCTCAAAGGAGAATTTTGGATCCTTGACTCTTCCTCTTCCTGCTTCCTGTTTKATGTTTGCCCCTCCATACATTTCCACTATGATGACAGTCCTCACCAGTGACCCAAAGCCATAAGACCACACAATCTTCCAATGGAACCTCCAGAACCATAAGTCAAATAAACCATCTATATAAGTTAATAGCCTCAGGTATTTCATTAGAGTAACATGAAAATGACTAGTACAATAAAAATCAATTAAAAGATCTGGGGCTGTAGTTCAATGGTAGAGATCATACTTAGCATACATAGGCCCTAGGTTTCATCTCAGCACCACCAGAATACAAAAATTAAAAGTATAGACCATGAATAATGAAGTTTATTCTTGAGATGCAAGACTGGTTCAATATTATTAAAGCAATCAATGTAATCTACCATTTTAGATACAAAAATTAACTAAAAATAGCTGGGCACAGTGTTGTATCCTGAGGTAGAGGCAGGAGGACTGCAAGTTCAAGGCTAGCCTGGACAACTTAGTAAGACCCTGTCTTAAAACAAAACAAAAAATTTTTAAAAAGGACTAAGGCTATAGCTCCATGGCAGGGCACCTGCCTGATATGTATGACAAGTTCAATCTTCAGCACCAAAAATTAAAACTAAAAATAAATCACATATTGAAATATAAAACTATGAATCCTTTAGAAAAAATACAAGACAATCTTTGAAATTTAGGGTTAGAAAAAACAATCCAGTCCCAAAATAGCCAAAAGACATGAAGAGACATTTCACAAAAGAGAATACACAGATGGCAAATAAGCATATAAAAAGATAATAAGCCATTAGGAAAGTGCAAATCAAAATTACAATGAGATATCACTACACCTCTATCAGAATGGCTAAAATGAAACATAAGAACACCACCAAATGTGGTGAGGATGCAGAGAAACCAGATCACTCATATGTTGCTGGTGTRAATATAAAATAGAACAGAGGCTCTGGGAAACAATCTGGCAGTTTCTTAAAAAAAACTAAATATATAACTATCWTATGACTCAAAATTATACACAAAGGCATTTATTCCAGAAAAATGAAAATTTATTTTCAGACAGAAATCAGTACACAAATGTTTACAGCAGCTTTATTCATAATAGCCAGAAACCGGAAACAACCAGACATCCTTCAACAGATGGATCATTAAAGTATAATATATCCGTACTATGGAATGCTAATCAGCAATAAAAAGGAACAAACTATTGACACATACTACAACCTAGATGAATCTCCAGAGAATTGTGCTAAGTGAAAAAAGCCAATCCAATGGTTATATACTACATTATTACATTTATATAAGACTCCCAAAATGATACCACTATGGAAATGGAAAACAAATTTGTGGTTGCCAGAAGTTCTGGAGAGGGTGGAGCAGGAAGGAAGAGGGGTGACCTCAGAGGGGCAACAAGTGTGGCTATGGAAATACCCTTAATTGGAAATGCCAATGGAAATCTTGACTATATCAATGTCAATATCCTGCATGTGATATTATACTACAGTTTTGCAAGATGCTACAACTTCAGAAAACCGAGTAAAGGGTATGGAAAATCTCTACAATTATTTCTTACAACCGCTAATTATCTCAAAAAAAAATAAAGAAATGAATATCTAAACCCCACTCCAAAAAATTTTTTAAAAAAACCACCTTGCTGTACCCACAGTCTCCATCTCAAATAATGGAACTCCATCATTCTATTTATTCAATCCAAAAACCCTGGAGTTGTCATTTTCTTTACACCTCACATCCAATCTGTTACTATACCTTTAAAATTTGAAGACTTTTCACCTGTCCACTGCTACTGTCTACTCCAAGCCTCACCTGGATTATTACAACAGCTTCCTAACTGATCTGGYTCCTTCCACCCTAACCCATGCTGTCCACACTCAACAAGATAGCCTGTAAAAATTTAAATTGGATGAGGTCACTCTTCTACTTAAAAAACCCTCCAGGGGCTCTCCCTTTCTCTCAAAAACCAAAGTCTATATAATGGTGCAAAAGATCTGGCCTGGTTAACTGACTCTCAGTGTCACTTGCTAATCTCCCTACCTGTTGCACCCCCACCACTTATTTAGCAAGTAGTAGGCATTTAATGTTTATTGAATGTGCTCTTCATCCAATTCTCACCACCAACTACACATGGCATCCCAAGTAGCATCTCTACACCTACCCCTGCTCCTGAAAAGCCCAGGAAACACTACCTGCTCTAAAAATACCTTTAATATTACCCTTACTAATGATGTAACTTCAATACCTAGCACCAAGTAGGAGCAGAATGTGTATTGTTCAAGACATAAAAACTTAAAAGTAATACACAAATAGCACACAGGAAAATAACTAATAATTCATCTRATACATTTGATCCAAAGTAAATCAACTTCCTTGACCTCTTCTCCTTCAAATCAGAAAAGTTGATCCAGTTAGCTATTAAGAGTTTTCAGAACAGAGACAACTCCTGCTTTATGGATTTAATTGCTTAGCTTCTACAAACATACACGTTACTCTAGATGTCTAAATCTTCCATTTCTACCCTTTCCTAATTGGTATTACCTCTTTAGCTAAAACTTAACATTTTAAAAATAGGACTTTTAAAATTCTTCTTCTTTAATTTTTCTTTTTTAAAAAAAAATGACTTAAAATAAAATTATATTGGCATTTTTCAAACTTGAGAATGAAGAAGACCCTGAGAACTCACTCACATGCTGGTTTAAGAAAACTTGCATTAAAAATTAAATGTATTAGGGCTGGGGTTGTGGCTCAGCGGTAGAGCACTCACCCTAGCATGTACAAGGCCATGGGTTCAAACCTCAGCACCACATAAAGATAAATAAACAAAATAAAGGTATTGTTTCCAACTACAATTWAAAAAAATAAATGTTTAAAAAAATAAATAAATGTATTACAGATTAAATTAAGGTGATCATTAGGGAACAAAGATAGCAAATGAAGAAAAGCAGGCACTTTTGAAACAGCTCAGCAAGGCTTGAACATAAGCTGGTCATCCAGTGATACAAAATGAGTATTTTTTTTTTTAGATTTTATCAAAACAAAAACATAAAACTTATGAATTCCTACACACTTCCAAGAATACACCAAGCACTGAAATTTTAAGAAACCTACTATGAAACAAATTTAAATAAACCTAATATGGTAACTTTCTCTAGGCTTATTTGAAATTTGAAACCCAACACATTCTAGATTTAAATTTTCTTATTATAAGAGTGATTACATTGACATTATTCCACATAAGACATGCTTGCAAAAAAATACTTACGTTACCCCAAACTTTATAAATGCTACACTACTGCAATGGAGCTTCTATAAAAAAACATATATGTTCATTTTCATTAAAGTTATTTTCAGTAGGAAATAATCTGAATTTATAACATTCAAAATAGGTATAAATAAAGACAATTTTAAAAGATAAAGATTCCCTAAAATCTTCAATATGGTTACAGCAATATTTAGTAGAAATAAAAACAGAGACAAAAGGACACCTTAATACTTCACAGTCCCCCTCATTTGCCCCTCTCCCCCAACACAAGATTTTCAACCAAAAAATCTATTTCTGTAACTACTTCCTAGCTATACAGACTTCTTAATCATTTCAGCTGGAAATACAGATATTTAAATGTCATTTTGTTCTAAGGTAATCAAATGATCCAAACAATTATGCTACTCAAATACTTTAGGAACAGAAACACCAACATTAACCAGGGAAATCCTCATTACATTTTACTAATGATGAAAGGGCCTTGGGAAAATGGATCACAGTGACCACAGTCCTTCCCCTCAGACTTGCAAACAACTCTGGGAAGGCAATGTATTGTATATATACAATATATACTCTCTCTCAACATTCACTCAGTTCAGTTCGTCCAGTCACTGGGTCACTGATCCCGCCCACCTCGGTCTTTACTACCGACCTCACTCATGGGGGTGGGGGGGGGGAAGGGGAGATTTTCCTTTCAAGACCCTGCTAGGTCCCCGCCCCGCCCTCCTACACACACACACACTTTGGGACCCTCCATAGACACCACACCCCGCAACCCGGAGCCCCTGTCACCTCCGACCCCCTTTCGAKACCCTAACTCCCCATTCCAAAAAACTGTGGAAACCCGACAGTCGCCACTYCTTGTGACAGTCCATTCTTCAAGACTGTGAACCACACCACCACTCCCCCGCTCCCGCCCATCTACACTCTTCTCCCAGCTCCCGGGCGTCTGCATCTCTCAGCCGCACTTCTGAGGCCCTGGAAGACTCCACCGTCTTGGACCCCACCATGTGCCCGCTTCTACGCTGGGCAGACTCTGCCCCAACTAGACACCGTCTGCTCTGGACCCTCSGAAGCGCCCTTTCCCCTGGCCCAGTCTGTCTCCACACCCGCGCCCAGGCCCTCACCTCCTTCCCTCACCCGCCCTGCCGTCGCGCCCCGTTTACCAGTGGACATGGCGGACGACAGCAGGAGCACGAGGACCAGTATCCACACCAGCCCTCCGGGGGTCTGAATGCCGGGCCCGGGAAGCTGGTTCACTTGCGAGGCCCCCCTCATCCTCCCCAAGGCGGCTGCGGCCATAACGGACTCGGCCGGGAGCCTGCGCTGTTGCTAGGCTTACGTCATGACGTCAGACCTTGCGTAAGGCAGCGCGGCCCTAGGCATCTACGTCCCAGCGCGATGACGTAGCATCTGGAAACAGGAATAAGGAGGAAAGGTGGTGGGAGYTGCCTCTTGGGTTTAGATCTGCGCTCTGCCACGCGTTAAGGATGTGGTGAGGAAAGTCCTAAAGAGGGCCAGGGCAAGCCCCTCGCTGCCTCCCGCTTGTCGGAGTACCATGCTTCCAATAAGAGGGTTTAAAACATTTTTTCAAGAAAAATGTAGCTGTTTCAAGTAGACTGATCATGAAAGTGAACTCCCCCACCTCCCAAAGGCAATGGAAACGAGAATGGTATAGTGGTCATATCTGGGTGGTAGATATTATTTTATTATTATCGTTCCCACAATCATTTATTATTTCGACAAATATTTAGCACTTCTCCATATTTCAGGGTACAGCAGAAAACAAAATGAACCACAAAGCCTTTGTAAAGTTTATTGGGAGGGAGACAACAGCGGGAAGCATAAGAAGGTAAAGAAGAAACAGGGAAGGTAGCTAGAAGTAGGGGTGAGGGGTTACCATTGTGAAGAGCTTCCAGATTTCCTAAAATACACTTTTGTTACTTTTTAAATTTTGTAAGTTAAAATAAAAAAMCCCCAGTATATGAAAAGGCAAATTTAGAAACTTCCAGGAAGTTCACTTGGGCCTTGGCATAATGCGTTGGTCTGTGTGCTCCTTCTGTGAATATTTCCTTAATAAACAGCTATAGGCTTCAATTTATAAAGGTCCCATTTGATTAATTGTCACKAAAGTTAGCATGGCATAAAGACATTTATTGTGTCCACAGTTTCACCACTGTCTGTGACTCCCTCAGAAGATTGCTGCTGTCCCCAGAGACAGCTGAACTGCCTCTACAGAGTAGAGAAGGGCCTGTGTTCTGAATCTGTTTTTCCCATAGCATTTATCTGGCTCCAGAGACAGCTCAGAAACACTTAAGTCTGTGTTAAGAAAACTAAGAAGCCATTCATCTGCTTATTTTCCAAAGTCTACCACAAGCCCATATAGACGGAATGGTGTCCTTATTACAAAATTTCCAAGTTAGCCAAAGCACACAGTCCCCCCCACCCCCACAGTGCCCAGGAGCTTTCACTCCTGTGAGTACAGAAAACACCTCTCAGGCTAGGGATGAGCTCTATATACTGCATTTACCTAGCGTGTACAAGGCCCTGGGTTCCACCCCCTAGTACTACAGACACAAAAGATAAAAAGGGCCAAGGGTGCTGGGTATGGTGACCTACCCCTGTAATCCCAGCGGCTAAGGAGGCTGAGACAGGAGGACTGAAGTTCAAAGCCAGCCTCAGCAACTTAGTGAGACACTGTCTCTAAATAAAATGCACAATAGGACTAGGGATGTGGCTCCTAGTTGAGTGTTCCTCAGTTCAGTCCCCAGTACCAAAAAAAAGGGGGGCGCCTGAGGTGTAACTCAATAGTAGATCTCTTGTCTAACATGCTCAAGCCCCTGAATGGAAACCCCAGTACTGCAAAAATAAATAAATGAAGTTTTTGTTGTTTTGTGGGGTTTTTTTTTTGTTGTTGTTTTTTAAGAAAACAGTTTAACAATTAAACCTCTCAATCCTAGCTCTTGCTTGTTTGGAAATTGCTTCAGATTTAAATAGGATTTTTACCTGTAATAAACACACCTCAATCCTCTTCTCTGAACCTTTGTCCACTTTGTTCATTTGTCTTCRTAACAGATTGTTTCCAGTTCTCTTAACTAATATTATATACTCAAGACATTTTCATTTTTGCAGAGGATATTCCAATGCACAGCATACAAAATAGGCAGACACTTATTAAGTAATTGGTGAGCAAAATGTTACCTCAAATTGAGGGCAGTTATACACTTCAAAATATTTAATACTATACTTGGCACCTGTCCGGATACACTCAGCAACCTGTTTACCAGAATCTCTGGAAAAATTCTAAACATTTACTTAGAAACAAGTTGCAAGTCCTTGTAAACCTGAAGATAGTATGACAAACACTAAGGCCCACAGTTCTGTGTAATTAGTTACACAAAATGTTAAAAATAAATCTGATACCTGTTTTGAATGTCACTATTAAACAACAAAAAAAAGTCTGCTTAAAAAAACAATCAGTGGGGAAAATGTTTGTATTTGCTGAAGTTGGATAGTTCATTACACTTTTTTGTGTGAATTATCCATCATAATAAAGTTATACACACACACACACACACACACACATACACACACACAAATATATGGAAAAATTCCAAAATGAGTGCCTCCATGACCCACAGGGGAAAATCTGTGGATATGATGGTATTTTATCTATGCTTAGGTTACTTTACCCCACAGTTAAATTTATGAAAACATTACTCTCAGTGGGCCTAACCTAATCCACTAAGACCTTGAAAGGGATAGGGATCTCCTGGAAGAGATTTGAAGTGTAAGATGAATATGACATGAGAGTTTTTTGGGTTTTTTTTTTTTCCCCTGGCATTGGAGATGAAGGGGACCATGTGGTAAGGTATGCTGATAACCTCTAAGTACTGAGGGTGAACCCAAGCTGACAGCCATCAAGGAAATTCAGACCTCTATCCCACAAGCAAAAATAACTGAATCTACCACATCTATGTAGGTTTAGAAGGACCACAAGCCTCTTGCTGGGATGAGAACATAGCCTGGTTAACACTGTGAGAACCTTAGCAGAGAGCCCAGGTAGGTGTGCCAGGGTTCTTCTGATCTGCAGACTGTGACAAAATGAGTGTTCTTTTAAGCTGTTAAGTCCATAGTCATATAGCAAGAGAAAACTAATAACACACACACACACACACACACACACACACACACACACACAGGAGCAAGGGGACAAAGAACAAATCTAAACAAGTGCCCTCTATATATATATAATTTTTTTTAAGATAGAGAGAGAGAGAGAGAGAGAATTTTTTTAATATTTATTTTTTAGTTTTTCGGCAGACACAACATCTTTGTATGTGGGGCTGAGGATCGAACCCAGGCCGCACGCAGGCCAGGCGAGTGCGCTACCACTTGAGCCACATCCCCAGCCCCTCATATACATTTTTCTTAATAAGGACAATAGGAGGAGGAGGAGGTTTCAATATTTTATTCAAGTTTTATTTTAAGTGTTGTTAATTACAGCATTTGAAGGGGAGGATCTAATTCCACACAAAATGGAAGACTCTAAAATGTACCCATTAAACTGCTAAAAAATAAATTGAGTGGTGAGAATATAACAGAAGTCCAATTTAGATTCCTAGTGTTGTCACTGTGTGATTACAATCACACAGACTCTTCCCAGCCTATAGCTGGAGCTCCTGGAAGCTATTTCAGACACTGGTGCAAGGGCAAGAAAACCACAACACAAAAAGGAATTAAGTCCTGAATTATTGGCTTCATCATGTCCACCCTCTCCACTCCAAAATGGCACGAAAAAGAAACAGTGACCACACCCTGCAGACTACTTTTGGTGTAAAAGAGGTGACGATGGGCTAGAGTGGAAAAAGGTTATGAAGGTCTGTCTAAAAAAGTCCCTTTCAGATGAGTTTGTACACACCACCAAGCAATGAGCTCCTCATCAATTAGGGTTAGGAAACCAAAGTTTGATTTTCAGGAAGTCACAATTCCATTCATTTACTCAATACAGATTTACAAAGTGCCTATACATTATCATCTTCCATTTGCAGCCATTTCTAGATTTAAAAAAAAAAAAAAGTAAACCTGGCATCTCTAGAGGGGTCACCAAGTCCCTCACACATACACACAAGTCTACAGCTGAAAGGACCTTTTTTTTGGACTCRATTTCTTCTGTACCTCTGAAATGGTAACACTTTAAAGCTGAATCCTCTTTCACCTGGAGGTCTAACATGATTTTTAGCAATTCTTGCATCCCAGACATACAACATTAAAAGGTACACTAAATTCTGAAGGTAGCTATGCTGCAAAATAGTTTAAAATTAATGATTGTACAGTATTCATTTATGCTTGAAATTCCAGTCCTAGACCAAGCTTGTGGCCACCAGCATTGACATTCTTGCCATCCAGCAGAGCTGACAGTGTCAGTTTGATACCTGAAGCAGGAAAAGGAAAGGAGAAAGGACAGAAGAAAGAAAAGGGAAGAAAGGTTAACACCAAATTCAGAATCTATATACTACAGTGAGCTTATACAACAAAATTACCATTATTTCACAGACCAGAAGGCCTGTCTAAATCTACCCTGGAACTCTACTTCCTTCTCCTCTCATCATCCCCCAGCTACAAGTAGTCTATCTACTGCAGTTACTGCACAGTAGGCTTCTTCAGCAATGGTGCCTTGAAAGGGAATCCCAACACAAATCAGTCCCGAAGTCTGACACTCACCTCCACAGCATGCATACATGTATAGCATGCATATATACATGAGCACGCACACACCCCCAAGTGATTTTCCCAAGAGTAGCTTGTAATCTTTGATCTAAAGGGCTGATTTTCCCAGGAGTAACTTGATTCTAACATCATATAAACCTAGCCTTCCCAGGTTGAAAGGTGGAATTATCTCCTAGAGCTCTCACACATCTAGCAGACTACACAGAAGACAACCTGCAAACCACTTTTCCTGTTTCTCTTTCTACAATAGGAATGATTTATAGGCTAGTATCATTATTTATATACACTGGAAATAAGCATCATTATTTATATACACTGGAAAAAAATATGGAAGAAAGTAACCAAAATTGTAACATATGTTAATCTCAGCCTTTTTTCCTCCTGATTACTATTTTTCAAATTCTCCAGATGTTTTAAATTTGCAGTTCCTTTATAAACATTTAATCATAAAACTTTACACACACACTTTTATAATGTCCTATACAGGCATTTTATAAGCCACAGCATAAATCAACAAGCTAGCATCACAATTTTCTTAAGACTGAGAACTGACATCACCCACAAGCAACACATACCTGGCTTTAGGGTCTGAGTGTATCCTAAACCA